TAAAACCGCCTCCCCAGCTCCTTCAACACCTCCCGCACCCGCTCGACACTCCCTGTCTTCGCCTACACACCCCACGAGCAGTCTTCGGAAAACATCTTACTCTTGCGCGCGAGGCGAGCGAGTTGGAAATGTATCTGATGCCGAGGCTTGTTCTGAGAGTCGGCGGGGTTGACATGGAACAGAGGCGTCGTGGTGGGTAGTGTCGTGCTCCCAGCGCCAAACCCGTCTTTGAGTGCGCGACTAGAGGGAAGAAGGTAGGTAGGTCAGCTCGTTGTGGTTCTCCCTGACAGAGATAGAAAAGAAGGGGAGGGAAGAGAAGGGACAGCACGACGTCTGCCTCGATCTCCCGGTGCGCTTCGAAAACGCTCCGTCTGCGTCCCGCCTGGATGAACGCGCTGGGCCCGTCCTTCCTTCTGCATCTGCGTCCGGACGCAACTCGCGCCCAGAAGGCGCACCCCCACACAATCGCGCTCCCAAGCACAAAGAAACGCGGACTCACCTCGTCCGCGCGCTACTCCACTCCACTCCACTCCCTATCCATCCAACGTCTCCGTCACCCGCCGGAACTCCGTGTCGAGAACGTTGGCGCGCGCGAGGGGTGTGTTTTCTCGGGTGCTTGTTAATTAGTAAGCTCGTTCGTTCGTTCGGAATGAGTGAGGTTTGAAGCAAAGTGGGACGGAGGAGGGGGAGGGGCAGGGAGGATGGAACGGAAGGGAGGGAAGGATCGATCTCATCGACGCGGGGAGGCAGAATCCAGGAGGTATGAATGGATTCGCCGTCTGCGTGCCCTGAGAACGCGCAGAATTCCGCGATATGGGCCCCTCAGCTGCACCGAACCCGCCGTGCATTCCATTGCAGAGGAAAAAAAAGAAAAGAGACAACGCATCCGTGCACCGAAAACCCCAGCGAAGAGGGATCGTATTTGCGCAGCCCAGGGATTAAGGACAATGAGGGACATAGTAGGAACGCACGGGCGTACAGGGATTCAAACCTGCACGTGTCGTGCTGTGGGTCGATATCCCCAAACAAGCAGGGCCGGCGGCGAGTGCAGGAAAGCAGTCCAAGACAAATAAGAGGAGCGGGGTGGCGGACGAGCCATCCACACGGCGTCGCACGCCAGCGCCGCGCCCCACTTCGCGCCAGACGAAGTAGAATGCAATAAATGCAGAGAAAATAAATCCAATCCGCCCGCTAAGAGACAAGAAAGCCAGGGAGGAATCGACGGCGCCACAGCAGCGCATGCGCATGCACGGGGATGCACGGGGACGCACGAGCGTTGCGAGTTGCGAGAACCCAGACACGTGTTGCGCTGCAGCGCCGGTAAAATAATAACGGGCGTCGGCAAGTCCCAGACGATAAGGAAAGCACCAAGGCCCGAAAGGGCCAAACGAGAGCGGGGTAGGACAGCGATGAATGCGCGATGAATGTAGAGGTGCGACAAGCGCACAGCACGCAGGCACCCACATGCGCTGCACCGCGCGCGCGGCGCGCCGAGCAGAAAATCAAGCTAGGAAGTATCTCGAGTACGTGCTCGAAGATACACGCCCGCGCCGCAAAATGCACAATGCAACGCGCACACCCATACCGCAGAATGTCCTCGGAAAAGAGTGGAAGAGACACGCAAGGCAAAAAACTCACCGTCCTCCCCTTCCAAGTCATTGAAAAATCGACCGCCTTCCTCCCCGTGTTCGTCGCGCTGCGCGGAAGGCCGAAGACGATGGGGTGGAGGTGTTTACTGCCCCGCCATTCGAGTGCGTTGTGGTGGCGAGCGCGTTGTTGGGGTATTTGGCAGGGTGATTCGGCGATAAGCGGTAGAGGTGCCGCGGCGGATGGTGGATCGGTTGAGGGTAGGGCGGCGGCGGCGGCGAGAGCGGAGAGTGGTCCCGTCGGCGGCTTGGTTCTGGAGGAAGAACCCCGTTAATGTGCAGCTCAACAACAAATGGATTAAAAATAAAATAAAAAGCGGCGCCCTTCAAGAGACAAGGAAGAAAGACAGAAAGGCACGCAACGCACCCAATAAACCCCGTAATCCACATCGAATTTTTCGTTGCGGCCGATAGAGGCCGCGGGCGAGCACTGCGGCAGAGAGTCGGATCGCGGGTGCTTTCACATCGTCTTTGTCGTGTTCGTGGCCGTGGTGCAAACTGCTTGGATTTGCGTGAATGCGGACGCGTGGACGAGGTGGACGAGTGCCGGCCCTTGTCCTGCCGCGACGAAATTGAATGCCGGTGTTCGGGCGAATGTGAATGGTGCCGGTGTTCTCCGCATCGTCTCGAGAACGATGGAATTGCGCCGTGAGCGATGCGAGCAACGGTCGTCGTCGGCCAGTGTTTCATGTGATTCCCAAATCCGGTTTGCTCTCCTTCATGGAGTCGTTGTGGAGCGTCGGGTTAAAGCTAGCACGGCAAAAACAGTAGCAGTACAAGCAAAGTAGAGTCAAGCCACGGTAGTAGACAGCGAGGAAAAAGGGAGCAAGCGGTTGGGAAGGCGTTGCCACACTGCCGTAACAAACTGACGTGGGCGCGACTTACCTTTTACGGAAGGTCTCTGTTGCTTTCTCCCTCCATGTCCATCGCGGCTCGAAAATGGACGGGCGAAGTGTGTCGGGCGGGAAACGAGAGCGCCGGTGAGTTGTTTTTTGCGCGGCTCTGGACCTGCCACGTCCGGTCACCCAGCAGAATTGAATATTTTCTGTGGGTCTCTGTGCCAGTGCCTCCTCGAGTCGAAACAATCTTTGCTCGCACTGGTCTTCTTTCAGCCTTTCTGGATCTCATTACAGAGTGATCTTGACGGCATCCCAACAGCTTGCCTACGTCCTCGGAGTTCTTTATCGCCCACTTGACCAAGACTCTGGATTCACTTATCGCTTCATTAAAGCACGTTCAAATTCCAAGCGCCACCAACACCTCAGTAGCATTGGAAAACCGTCTATTTACTTGCTTCCTGGTGTCTGAATTTGCCTGATCACTTCTTGGTCTAACGAAAACGCGGCCGGCTGGGATCACTTACGGTAATTCAACGCGAGGCAACACATTCGGCCTGCCTTTGATTCATGCATGCTTTTTGTCTTTCTATGGAATGCGTTCGGATAATCTGGAGCAGTTCATCCTTGTACACGCCGAGTAAAACACGGCTCGAGGCGACTCGAATCACCTTACAACAATTCAACGCGTCAACCGACTTTCCTTGTGTTATTCTATCCTTCTTTGGAACAGGTCACGGCATACAACTCGACAGCCTACACTCGGTCGTCAAATTCAGACAACCCTGCTGAGCTCTAACTGCTAACTGCACTACAGGTCGACAGCTAAATGAAACTGACCTACGCAACACCGGAAAAGTACAGGCACTCGGGTGTGGTGCATGGTGCACGGCGGGGGCTTTTGGACCTTCGTTATTTCCAAAGCTTACGGCCGCAAATTGGGGTTCGACTCCCCGCGTTCGAATACTTGTGCGGTGAGGATTTCTCTCTCTCCCGATCCCTGTACTAATCCCCACCTCGTGCGAGAGCTCTCATGCCCAGCCACCTGAAAGATCTCTTCAATACTCAACCTTTGAATCGCGACTCAAATTTCCACCTCTCAACCGTCACTTGCGGTACGATATCAAATTTACGCCGTCGAAATTGACCTGACCTAGCCGACACAGGAACAGTACTCGCACTCGAATGTGGTGTACGGTACACGGCGGGCTTGTCTGCTTTCCAACACTTACAGCCGGCAGCTCGGGGTTCAACTCCCCGCGTTCGAATATTTCTGGCACTCCCAAGTTTTTTTTTTGTCACCTTGATCATTGTACTCACCCTAATCCCACTCCCTCCGACGCTCAGGTAAGCGGCAAATATATCCGATAGATTTTGAACCGCGCCATTCAAATTCCTATGTAGTCCCTGTGTCTGCGTTGTCTCTTGTCCTTCGGGTCGCGCTGACACATCTTCCTCGCGGCGGCAGGTAGGACGGCCCTTAGCTATCGATCTTAGTACTGTTGTAGTAGTACAAGTTGAATATAATGATGCATTCACCACTGCAATGGACCAGAATGAGCTGGAAATAGGAGCGAAAAAAAACCTCACGCCAATATTCCGCCAATATTCGCGCCAATATTGCGCCAATATTCCCCCGAAATGCGGTATAGTGGCGGAATATTGGGCTGAACTTTTTTCGCCAATATCCCGCCAATATCCCGCCTAAACAGGGCATATCGGCGGGATATCGGCGACCAATTTTTTGGCTCAAACTCCGGTGTACCTCTCAACCGTCACTTTCGGTGCGATACTGTGCGATATCAAATTCACCGCGTCAAAATTGACTTGATCTATCCAACTCAGGAAGAGTATGAACACTCGAACGTGGTCTACGGTACACAGGGACGATTGTTTCCCAGAGACAAGTTTACAGCCCGCGAATCGGGGTTCGTCGTCGGCCCCGGTTCGACTCCCCGCGTTCGAATACTTCTGGTGCTCTTCGAATTTTTCTTTCCATCTCGATCCCTGTACTAATGCTAATCGTGGGAGCTCTCCCATGCGCAGTTAGCTGAAAGATCTATCCAATACCGAAGCTTTGAATCTACGCCCCAGCTAGCAGTGTCGGTACGATGTCAAGTTTCCCGTTCGAAATAACTGACCTCGGCAATACAAGAATTGTATCCGTATTCGAACGTGGTGTAGGATAAACTGCGGGCTTGTTTGGGGCTTCGTTACTTCCAAGGCAACTCCGCAGATCGTGGTTTGACTCCCCGCGTTCAAATGCGAGTCCTTCCGTTGTTTTCCACTTCGGTTAAGGTTCTCTTTTTCTTTTTTTCACCTTTATCCCTGTACTCACTGTGATCCAACCACTTCCCAGCTCTCAGTTGCCAGCAAGTTTATTCAATAGATGTGAGCCCTCGGCTCACCATTGAATTCTCCACCCTCAACGTTTAACTACTGTCACTATGGGTAAGATATCAAATTCACCCCCTTCGAAATTGACCTGACCTAGCCGACACAGGAACTGTCAGAACACTCGAACGTGGTGTAGCGTACACGGCGGGCTTGTTTGCCTTTGTACCTTCCAAACTTACAGCCCGCAGCTCGGGGTTCGACTCCCCGCGTTCGAATGAATCGTTTGTTTCACCCGGAACTTTTTTGAGCTTCTGTTTACCCGTCTTAATTTCCCCACCCAGCCTCACTGGGCCGACTACACAAAGGTAGGCACGGGACTCTGTGATGCACATCGAAACAGCACGCACTTCAACTTCGGCCAGCCACTTTGATAGAATATCGAAGTTTGCCTGTTCAAAATCGAACTGACCTACCCATCACAGGGATATACTTGGACGGTTCGGCTCCCGCGTTCGAATCCCTGGGTCCATAAGAAGTTTTCTTTTTTTCCCACCTCGATCCCTGTTGCTCACCCTGATCCAACTACTCACTCGCGCTCAGTGGCCAGCAAATTTATTCAATAAATACGCAACCTCGGCTCACTATTGAAATCTCCAGCCTCAACATTTAACTGCTGTTATGTGGGTCGATATTCAATTTACTGCTTCGAATTAACTTGACCTAGCCAACGTAGGAATGGTACTGACACTCGAACGTGGTGTACAGTACACGACGGGCTTTGTTAGTGGGAAATCCACTGGCATCCAAGCCCGCAGCTCGGGGTTCGACTCCCCGCGTTCCGAATAGGCGTTGCCCTATGTGATTTCCCCCTTTTTGCCCCCCCGAGTCCTCTAGTAATCCTGATCGACCTAGTGCTCGAATTTCCTCATTGGATTTATTCCATGAACACTGAACCTCGCGATTCAAATTTTTACCCGGTACGAATAGTATCAAGTCTTCCCCGTTCAGAATAATTCAACTCACCTAACCAACGCCGGCACAGCACTCACCATCGTAGTACTCACCCTCGCAGCATGGTACACGTTGTGCGTCCGTCATCCAACTACTTCCCAGACCGATAAATTGAACTGTTCAGTTCCTCGGATGTTGTTCACCAGCCGGCCTGGCTGTTCATGTCCACCTCCCATTGTCCAATAAAGCACGACCTCAATGAACGGCGGCACAAGCTTATTCCCGGTGCCGCATTTCCTTTAACTTTCCGCCGGTGGTGTCGTTGGTTCACAGATTGAGTTCTCGGACAGAGTGATGGGGTTATTAGGTGTCAAGCACCTCGCCGTCGAAAGACACGTGAATCGAATTCGGCTCCACGTATGTTGTACTGTTGGAGTAGACCTGGATCCCCGTTCAACTCGGGGTCAGTCGTTGCATTGTTTTTGTTGGCGCGCGGGGAGCATGATTTCGTCAAGGAGTACTAGCATGTAACAACGTTCCGTGGAATAATTGTGCAGGTAAGAACCCCGTCTAGTTCCCTCGTGGCTCGGAAACAACGGCGAAGTGAACCCGAATACACCACTTCCGCTGCGAACTTCAGATTATGCTTTCACGCAGCGTTGCATATTTGGCCGCAGGATAGCAAGGAACACATCAGAGGCAATAAATAAATGAATAGGATCACTCACACTAACCAGCTTTTCTCCCGTAAGAAAATATATTGCTCCTTGGTTGCATTTCGGACATCTCGGGTGAGCATGCCGCTAATGCCGCGTTGCCGATTCGAGATGCCGCCGCTGCCGATCACGCCGGCATCAACTCGAAATGTCCGGTAGCGTTTTCCGAGCTCTGGGCGCCCTTACCGGCTTTCCACTAAAATTGCGCCAGAATTTTCTCGGTCATAATCGGTAGTGATACTCCGCGTTTGAGTTCACACTTTCATCCCCGTCCACCACAATGAGTTCCAAGCGGAGCTCCACTGAGCCAAGGACAAGGGACCAAACCGAAGTAATTGGCAGGTGTGGAAGTACAAACGTCGGTTGGTGCTATGTCTGGTTTCGGAATTTTGAGATTCCATATCGCTTTGACCCGAAGTAGGAATCGGAATTTCTGCGTCCTGAGAGCACAAAGAAACCGATGATGCGGATCTGAGCCTCCACCGGCGCATTCCGACGCCAGCGCCTAGCTCCGGGGAAGCTGGGTGCTGCCGCAGCTGCCCCGCGTTGTGCGCGTTGAGGGATTCGTGCGAGTTTTTGGAAGAATCTAGCGGTTCGCGGCACTTTGTATGTCGGGGGGAGGGCTTGGCAAAACGACGTGTAATATAGAGTCCGAGAGAAGGAACGAATGAGCAAGGAAAAGGCGCATGCAGGAGGCATGGCACAGTGCGCCAGAAAATTGGAAGGACATGAAAACGCACCCAGAACTCAACTGGCTCCGCGCCGGTAATAAGCTGATATCTTCGTTGGAAGCATACAGCTCGTAGTCCATGATTTCAACCAAAGAAAGACTCCGTTCAAGTTGCACAGAGGAGGTATAAAATGTGCGCCTGGATGGGAAACAGTGGAACGAGGTAGAAGGGTAGGGATATGCGGGTGGAGGGAGATGTACGAGTGGAAGATAAGGTCGAGTCCGGCGGAGATGGAAGACAGGAGAAGAGAGACCGTCCGCGCAGGTAGAACATCACGAGAACGACCTATATCCAACCTACCGCCAAGGTGTAGAAAATATGTGAGGCATACCCGGAATGACCCGTGCCCAAATCGAACGGACAATTTCCACTTATATACGCTGTTGAACGAGGTCGCCAGGTGTGGACGCGCCCAGCGCAACGGGTCGGTATTCTCCCACACCAATACTGAGCTATACCGACATATGCAAAGCAAACCCGCGACAAGAGAAGGTCCGTGTGCTTTTTAGTCCGTCTGCGCAGGAAAAGCACCCGCACAAGCACGGGAACGCACGCAGGGGCAGCGAAATAGACCACGCGTGTCGTCGGCCACTATAGGCAAAAATGTCCGCACCAAAAATCGGAGTACAAGGTGCCATCGCCACGGTTCGCATCGGGCGGAAATCACAAAAAGAAAAAAGGCGCAGAAATACACGGACGGCCAAAACACTCGCGTGTACCCGAAATGCGCGCGAAAGAAAGTACGCACACGGTCTCCGTGCGTCCCAAAAACAAAACTAGAAACAAAGACTGACCGTCTTCCCCGTTACTGTACCCAACTCGAAATCAACAACCTTCCTACCCGCGCTGCCCGCCGACCTCGAAGAAATAAGGCAACGCTGTGTAAGTGCTTGCCTGCCCTGTGAGAGGTGCGCAGCTGATTCTTTTTGGCGATCTGTGGGCGGGATAGAGGGTGAGGTAGCGTTGGATATCAAGGTAGCGAGGGCGTGGGGAGCAGTATTGTTCCCCGCATTAGTACGCTTCCCTCAGCGTCTCGGTGTTAATATACGGCACAATAACGAACTAGCAAACCTAATCCGCGCAGTCAGGGGAGTACTGGCGTCAAGTCATTCCTTTCACATGATTCAGGCGGAAAAAGATTATATTCCAACCACTTTACTACAAAGTGTATGTGCATCTGGATCGAAAATGGAACGAAATTAGCGGGGGAGGACGGTGGGAAAGGGATATGGGCAGAAATGTAGGAAGAAGACCGTGCGCGGATACGAGGCGCACACACGAGCATAAGCCACGCGTCGAGGGGGTGGGCCTAGCACACCACTTGACTCGCAGGTAGGCTGCAGTAAGGAACGCGGCCTGGGGCTCGCGGAGTACGCGGCGGACTTGAACTTTCGACGTATGCGCACGCCGGTCGATGCGGGGACACGACGCGGCAGCAAACCCAAACGAAGGGGTGGCGTGGGCGTAGAAGGCAAGAGGCAAGATCTAGAGTGGAGATGAGGACGCACCCTCGTGGAAATCCGCCTGATCCCGGCCTATATCCACCAGTGCTGAACTACAAGTCAACCGGTAGTCCTCAAGTATGACAAACTGGATGCGCGGCGGCAGCGTTCTATGTGCGAGTTGACGCGTTGACGGCCGTAGCCTTTGGGAAGTGTATTTGAGGTGGTCTTGTGCGTCGATTTTTGGGTCTTGCATTGATATTGGTACATCCACTGCCGCTGCAAGAGGATCGAAATCTTTTGCCACGTTGTCGGGGCAATAAAGGGTCGGACTAGTCTTGAGGCGTTTGCGACACGAGAGAAGGAAGCAAAATGGGTTTCGGTAATTGCCAGCGGATCTTTCGCCTGATCGGTCTTCCGGGCCGCTGCCTACTTCCTTGCAACCATCTTGTCGATTTTCCGACTGCGCAGCCTCTGGCACATCTCCCGCAATTTGGAAGTGTCAATCTTGGCTCACAAATGACCGTGTTCTAGAATCTCATCCAGGCAACACTTAGACTAGTGCTTCAACGGCCATTCTTTCCCAGGATTTTCTTCGAGTACGGTGCTTCGACGCTATGGAACGTCTGCGGTCCGTGACGGCGTCCGTCCTATGGAATCAAACTATCGGTATAGCTATTTCCAAATTCCAATTGGGATAGACGCCATTCAGAGGCTCAATGATCTCGTAGTCTGTTCTCTCGAAACAAAAGACCTCTGTCAGCTCTATTCTGCTACAAAAAAGATCGTTGACAGTCTGGAACCCACTTCGTCAACGTTCCTCTTTCTATGGGACTCAACCTGTGAATCCAATCTTACTTGGTCAACAACGCTCCGACTAGACTCCAACCCAACTTCACAATCTACCGTTTGAGTTCCGTTCTCAGCCTGTTAGTACTTCGTCAAGTCGCTCTTGTGATCAAATGCACTTCCGGTGGCCCGGGACAGTCGAGCTCAAGTGGAGTCGAAATGGAAAGTGTTCAAGTCGGTGTGTATGCTTCGGTGTTTGAGCCTTCGCCAAAATTAATTGCTCCTCCTCAGAACCACAACAGCTGATGCCAAACCAACTCATCTCGACGCTCCATCAAAGCCTCCAGACATGGGGTATCCCAACCTTCTAACGACTCATTTGCGCGAATCCTCGCCTTGACTTCCTCCCCATTCCGGAAAGTTTGATTGCTCAATCGTAATGCCGCAGTCTCGAATCGAACGAGACCCCCCCTGGCGCCCCAAAATCGTGGGTGTGCAAGGGCCTTCCGTAAAGTTGACGGTAGTGTTTCATTCAATCCGCCTACATGTAACTGTGTGACATCTTCATCCCAATCATGGCTCGGCCTCACATCGAACGACCTACCCGCCAAGTGATCTACTTGATGAAGTACGAAGTACGGGTGCA